CTGTGGTCACCAAGGTTGCAGCAAGCTGGAAAGGCTGACTCCGCGGCAGGGCGTGCTGTCTACCTTGCTCCGGACAACAGTGAAAGAGTGAACCTGAAATTAATTTAAAATCCTCTATCAAAAATAGAAGCTACTTGGGGAAAGTTCTCCATCTCTGTTGAAGACTGTAGTTCCCCAGCTTGACTAAAGGGGCTCCCGTGACCTTCCCCTGTGCTCCCAGTGCTCCCCGATGTCTTGGGAGGAATTTGTTTCTCTTTGTCACCTGGAGCTTCGAATTTGTGCAACAGAGAAGCTGGAAGCCCTTTCAGATTTGTGGGTTAGAAGGAAATGTGCCACAGGGAGGGCAGGGGCTGAGCGTCACCCCCCTCCCCCGCCATCCACACACACACCAAGACCTGTCTCTTCTCTTTGGTGTCCACGGAAGCTGGGAGACTGCCCAAGGTCTGAGCATAAAGCAGATATTTTTGTATCTGGAGAAAATGTCCAAAAATAGAGGACTTTTAGGGTTGCTGGATTTTTAGGCACCTAAATCCTGTAGGATCCTCCTGACCTCTTAGCACAACCCCAGCACCGAGGCCCATTTAGGCTGGTTGTTTGCACCTGGAGCTGGGCCTGGTTGACAGGGACAGACCCGCAGCTTGGGGACTTGAGAGGGGAGCTCCCTTAGGGTCAGGCCCCACGGGCCTGTGGCTGCGTTTCTAAAGGTGTGACATGAAATTCAGGTGTAAAGGGCGAGGCCAACAAGGAAGGGCCTCGAGAAAAGGCACCCAGTGCCTCCAGCAGGGCCCACCTCTAGTCGGAGCCTTTGGTCAGCGGGGTCCCACCCGTTCCAGACCCCTTTATGGGCTGAGCGCCCCCGGGTCAGGAAGGAGGTCAGCAGATCAAAGGGCAGTGCTAACAACGTGATACCTTTAGTCCTGGGGCTCTGCTGGTGGGGGGAGGGGCCACCTGCACGGATCCGCCCCTCCTCCTCCTCCCTACCCTGACCCCCGGGCTTGCCTTCCGGTGACCCTAGCCCTCCCTCCCACCGTACTCTCCACCGACCCCCCCACACACCTGCTTGACCCCAGGCCTAGCTGGCCAGGTACCCCAGGAGGCTCTGGGCTCGGAGCATTTCCCTGGACTTGGGGGAAGTGGGGAGAGTGCAGGGACCGCGGAGGAACTCCCGCTGCCCAGTGCCCAGTGCCCTCCTGCCCCCTCCCACCGGGAGAAAGCGACCTGTGCTTGCTAAGGAACAATGCCCGCCTCCCAGCCTCCGGATGGGTGAATACATGGGCTTTATTCCCAACCTCATAGGTTCGTAACTCCGGATATGCATAGACATGGGTTGCAAACATCTTTTTCTTTTGCAGTCGTTGTTATAAACCACCAAGTTGCCTTTCTACGTCATGAGAGGAGGGTGACTCCTGGCATATTCAGTATCTTGAAGGGAGACTGTGAAGAGAGAAAAGGTGTGCCATGCCGGGCAGGCAAGGGGCTAAGAGGGGGAGCTGATGACAGGAGCTTGCTCAGGAAATCGAGGGTCCCCCAGTCCTCCCGGGGCTGCTGGAGAGGGGAGTCACCTGGACACTGGGGTTGGGAGTATTGCTGGGATCAGACCTTTGATCTCCTTCGAGGGAGGTGAGGGAGGGTGAGGGAGGCTGAGGGAGGCTGAGGGAGGGTGAGGGAGGGTGAGTGCCCTCCAGCAGACGCAGGCCTTGCTCCTGTCGGCCCCAACCTTCAAAGCCAGCCGGGCTTGACCAGTACAGGCCGGAGACAGGAAGAGCCCTCGCGCTGGGCTTCACACCTCGTAAACCACACAAAGACCCCAAACTTCCAAGACCTCTCCCTCTTTCCCTGTCCCTCTCTCTTTCCATACAACTTCCCTGAAAACCTTCAATCTGTACTCACTTTTTCTTAACATCAACAGAATATATGATAATTTTAAAGCCCTTTGGCCCCATAGAGTGCATGTGGCCTAACCCTGACTTCTCTAAACAAAGAAACAGAAATCCATAAAAATAAAAGAGCATTGGCAGCCAGTCTCATGGCAGTTAGGGGTGGCGGGACCAGGAAACCCCCCCAGAGGGCTTATTGCTTCTTGGATGCCTTCCTGGGTGCTCCCACAGGTGGTATGGCCTTGGGGGTAAAACCAGGTGAACTTTCCCCTGCGCGGTCCCCACATACCTGTCCAGTCCACGCTTCCAGGAAGTGCTCTCTGCTGGTCTTAAGGGGAGGAACGTGCTTGCCCCTTCCCCTCTCTGGCGGATTTTAAGGGGTTTAGGAGAAATGGGTACTGTGGAACAAAGAGGGGGTGAAACCAGTCACTCTGATTTAAACACAATATCTAAAACACAATGATCTGGTTGAAGAAATGGGGGCATTTATCGTGTGTAAATGTAAAGTTTAGACTGTACCCTGTCCCCAACTAAAATATCCCTGGCTGTGCATATTTTGGGGAGAAAAGAGGGCAGCAGTCTCTCCAAGATCAATCTTGGGGGAGTTTCATTCACTCCTCCCAGCATCCTAAATCACTGCTCTCCATCCCAGGAGTCCCAGCCAGCAGATGGAGGGGGAGGCAGAGAAAGGCAGTCAGCCTTAGAGCGAGCCCCTACCAGAGATGGGGGTCAAGCCTCTCCTGGGGAGGCAGAATGACAGACAACCTGTCATTACTGGCCTCGCAGGGCGAAGGGCTTCCCGCCCAGAACAAGTGGCCAAGAATCTCAGGTCTCCTTCATAAACCCTCCTTCCCTAGAGCGAATGGGTGGCATAAAGAAACAGGGTCAGGGACACCCCCCCCCCCAGCACCGAGGGCAGCAGGTGACAGCTGTGTGGCCTCAGCATCAGACTCGGTCCCACTTCCAACTACGAGGCTTAATGGTTTGCTGGGGACAAGAGTCTCAAGCTCTTGGCACCTCTACTCTCTGAAATGGAGAGGATAAAATCCTTCTCCTAGTGTCACAGTGAAGATTAAAGAAGATAATTCTAGAAAGCACGTGGCATGGGGCTGTGCTCAGGAAAGGTAAGGGCTCTCCCCTCTCTGCTTAAAGGCCGGACTTCATTTTCACGGCCCCAGAGACCACATCTAAAGACCAGATACCATGTAAATGCTGTAATTTCTATTTTACAAATTACGACTGTTTTTTGCAAAGCCATATAATATTTATTCCCATCACTGTCTCTTACCCATTGCTGTCCTCCTATTTCCAGCTAGTATTGTGTGTCTCCAAACTACCCTGTTTTAATGAAGAAAGAAAAAATCTCGGCTCTTGCCAATACAATCACTGCAGTCAACTCTTGCCAAGGCAAAAAGCCTGTTGAAGGGAAACTAAACGATCCCCACACTTACCTTAAAAAAAAAAAAAATCCCTCTTGTAGCAACCTGATCTGTTAATTTTAAAGTTTACCCTGATTTTTCCTTCCTCCTCTGCCCCTCCCACAGCCCCCACCCTGTGCTTTACTCACCTCTCACCTGCTTAGGAAGCTGGCTTCAAGGACCCACACCCCCTCCTGCATTCTTTCCCCTGCGGGGGCCAGGGAGCTATTCTAGCAGAGCTATTGACAAAGCCTGGTACTGGGGGCTGCCTGACTCTCCGACCTGCATGTTGACTCTTTCGGCTTCAGAAAAGCCCTTGGAAGTGCTTTTACTGTAAATATTTGAGGTGTGTGTATGGGGGACGGAAGGGGTGGGTGTGAAGTCTGGATTCTCACTCCACTACCTTGCTCAGCCAGGGGAAGCCCTTTCGCCCGAGTTCCCAAGCTGCAAGTAGGGAGTGGAGAGAGGCTGCATTTTCCTGCCTGGAGACTAAGCAGGGTCGGGATGACCGGCCTCGGGAGGGCTCCCGGCTCCCGCAGGCTCTCCAGAACCGAGGTGGGTGCTGCCTCTTGCATGCCCATGGGTGTCCTTCCGCAGAGAAGAAGCGCTCTGTCACCAAGGATCCTGTCACTGGCAGATGGGCGACGGCTCCAAGTCGACCTGGGTCCTGCAGGCCGCGGGGCTCACAGACCCTGCCCTCTCTGCCTGGACCGGGCAGGGGCTCAAGGCAAGGACTAGTGGAAGGCAAACTCGCTCACACACATACACACGACCCCTGAAACGCACGGGACTTCCCAGAGATGAGACGGTTCGACCTGCAAAGGGTTGACGACAGGGACATAATCTGCTCCCGGGCACCCTGGAGACCCAGGAGCAGGGCCTAGGGACCCGTGTGGTCTTCGTGGTACTGCCGTCATGCAGCCAAGCAGCTGGATCTGCAAGCAACGCGGGATCCGCAGCGCAGAAGCGCAGGAACTCAGGTGCCGGCGAAGGGGCGCGAGAAGACGCACGCCGCTGGCTCCAGGGGCCGCCGAGGCCAGAGCCCGGCCGCGTGTCTCCGGAGCTGGGCTCAGACGGCGGGGCCCACACGGGCACGCAGAGGTGCCAGCGCCCGCAGTCCAGCTCGGCACTTGGAGGAGGGCGGGCAGGGTCCCTAGGCTGAGCCTCGGAGTGTGGCAAGGGCAGTCTCCGCCCGGCCATCGCGGCGCAGCACCCCGGTTGTTTAGGACCCCGCGGCGCAGGGGCGGGGCGGCGGGCGGCCGGGACGGTGACAGGTGCGCCCCTCGGCCAATGGCCGGGCCGGCGCCCCTCCCCGAGCCCCCGCCGAGCGCGCCAATCGGCGGCCGCGCTGCGCTTCAAGTGCGCGGAGGGGCGCGGGTCCCCACTACGGCGCCAGCGGCCTCGGCGCGGTCGCCCGAGGGTCCAGCGCACTGAGCCGGGCTCCCCGGCCCGGCGCGTCCAGGCACTCGCGTGCGAGTTTGTGCGAGCGCGTGCGAGCGCGGCCCGGGGCGGGGCCCGCCCGGAGGAGGCGCCCGGACCATGGTCACCCTCGGCTGAGTTTCCGGCGGCGACTTTGATTATTGGCAAATAATCACCATAACAATACCGAACCCCCGGGCTTGCCGCCGCCGCGCAAGGACTCCGCGATCCCGCACCGGCCGCGCCACCCGCCGCCCGGCCCCGCTCGCCAGCCCCAGACGAGCCGATGGAAAAATCCAAAAATTTCCGCATCGATGCGCTGCTGGCCGTGGACCCCCCGCGATCAGCCTCGGCGCAGACCGCGCCGCTGGCCCTGGTCACGTCGCTCGCGGCCGCCGCGTCCGGCCCAGGAGGCGGCGGCGGCGGCGGGGCGAGCGGCGGGGCGAGCGGCGGCTGCAGCCCCGCGTCCTCGGAGCCGCCCGCGGCGCCCGCCGACCGTCTGCACGCAGAGAGCCCCTCGCCGCCGCGCCTGCTGGCCGCGCACTGCGCGCTGCTGCCCAAGCCCGGCTTCCTGGGCGCGGGCGGCGCGGGCGGCGCGGGCGGAGGCGCGGGCGGCGCGGGCGG